AGACTGAATAGTTTTCAGGTTGGAGAAATTCCACTGACAATTCTTACTGCTGGTAGCAAGTCAGTAGCATCACCAGTGAAAACACTCAATCCCTGCAAGGAGCTAACTTTCACCCTTGGTGGAAAAGCTACTAGTGCAAGAGATTTATCGTTGAACCAACTCAACATAGGTTATTACACGAATAATAAGCTGGTTGTCCTCCACTGATATCATTTAATCTAGAATTATTAATGTCTCAATGATAAAAAATATAGTTCAGTCCCAACCCATTCTTGGAAGAAAATCAGGTCTTTCTAGTCATCTGACACTTACATTTTTTTTTGTAAATTGTCTAGAATGTTTCTTTCACAGGAAACTTGCCTCTATATCTCTCTTTCTCTTCATCTTTTTAGATATATTGACAACAAAAAATTTGGCTATTTTTTTATACAAGTAAAGGAAAACATAAAGACTATTTCAATTTCCCATCACAGGCCAAAAGAATCAAGTTTTTGTTAAGCAAAAATATTAAATGAATATACATGTAAAAGCCATGTTATTAAATGACAGTTTAAAACTTTAAAAGTTCCTACATCCTAAATGAAAGAAATTGCAAATAAATTACATGCTGAGTTGAAGTGACTAAAATGTAAAATGATAAACAGCCTTTAAAATCATTAATTTTAAATCTTTTGTCTAATGTCTTTAATCCAATATCCTTTGTATTAACATCACAATATAACAGATCATTTGCTAATGGGATGAGAGTTATCTTTCTTTTAAGTGACACTTGATGCATTTTTTATAATATGTAAAAATAATTTTAGAATTTGATAGAATTTGACACTTCAAACTAATCAAAGTATCTGCAACATGCTCTATTTTGTCTGATGTTTATCAAGTAATGTCTTTCCTTGGAGAACAGAGCTATCTATTAGCGTTTCCCTTGATGTGTTCATCATTCCCTTTAGGTAAGTCAAAAATGACACCTACTGTCTGTGCTGTATGGGTTATAACATACTGTCTGTGCTGTATGGTTTGTATTCAACTGTCTGTGCTGTATGGGTTGTAACTTACTGTCTGCGCTGTATGGTTTGTAACCTACTGTCTGTGCTGTATGGTTTGTAACCTACTGTCTGTGCTGTATGGTATGTAACCTACTGTCTGTGCTGTATGGGTTGTAACCTACTGTCTGTGCTGTATGGTTTGTAACCTACTGTCTGTGCTGTATGGGTTGTAACCTACTGTCTGCGCTGTATGGTTTGTAACCTACTGTCTGTGCTGTATGGTTTGTAACCTACTGTCTGTGCTGTATGGGTTGTAACCTACTGTCTGTGCTGTATGGGTTGTAACCTACTGTCTGTGCTGTATGATTTGCTATGTATTTAGTCCTATAGCATCTCTGTATTGTCTATTGAAAATCAAATTGTAAAACAAGAACTTATTACTTCATGAAATTAATGCAACCCACCTTACCTTTCTTGTAATTTAAACATATAAGTAAGGCACTTTTTAGTCACTGTTGATTATTGTATCTATAGGTATCTACTATGTCCAAAAGAAAGTATACGCACTAAAAATATGACTAAGTTTTATTTAGATTAAAAGATTAAAAACATTTGATAAAACATTACTGAGTTTGTCTCTTGCGTCAAAACTCAACATTTCTAAGCAAAATCAAAAAGCGAAACAAATTGACATTGTACTCAAATGCCGCATATGATGGAAAACGACTTTGGTTGATGCAGCACGAAATGCACAGTGTATACTTTCTTTTGGACATTAGTATATATTGTATTTTATTTATGAAAAATTGTCATTAAGATGGGACAAAAAAACAAGGTCCCACATGTCAGGGTTGTGCCCAGGTCTGGGGGGGCCAATAATAGTGGGGGGAAGGGGAAGGGGGAAGCAAGAAAAATGTGATGTGAATGATTTTTGGTGCATATCTGGACCTGGATGGAATAAGAATTTGAGGGCACAGCATTATGCATAAAACATAGTGTTTTGGGGGCACACATGTTATTTCAAAGAGGGGGCGGGGCAGACACCATTGGCACTGCTCCTGACAACATGCATGTGTATGTAACATTTGAAGCACATAGTAGATTCCCTGTCAACAAAAATTCTATATAGGCTAGCACCTCTGCCAGGGCAAACTTTCCTTCATAGAACTCTAACACAACAATCTCCTGATCTCCCCACTGCCCCTTTTTCTTGAAATCATCCTTCATTCTAAACTAGTTAAATACTTTATTGCATAAAGCTTTAACCACAAGCTCAAGGGTCACATGACAAATAAACAAATCATCTGAATTACCTCCCTTTTGTCCCCATTTCAGTAACCCAAGAACTCTTATCATTGTCATTGTATTTTTTGAAATCATGCTTCATTCATAACTTGATTAAATTTAAACACATTATATATCAGATTTAAATTACACACTTATGTAATAGTAATATTATCTTTTATATCATTATTTTCAGAATTTTTTTAAAATATGAACACAAAATCTTTATTAATCATCTTAACCATAATTGAAAGTAATCTTGATATTCTTTATTTGATAATACTAATTGGTTTTGGTGAATACAAGAGCACATTTTGTTATATCTTCCATAAAAAGGGTATTTTATAAGTTATATAGATAATAACATCAAAGAGAACTGGTTAAATGGCAAGTTAAAGCAAGCTTGTCACTCGAATAAAAAAAAAGTCTTTAACAGTGGAAGGAAACCAGAGGACCTGGAGAAACCCCATAAGGTTGGACAGTCAACCCTACTACAAGCACTTGACTCAATGACAGACCTTGGGATCCAATGCGTGCACCTTTACCATTCGACCCCCCCCCCCCTTTCTTGAAATAAATATGTCATCCGTAGTTGTTTTCAGTCAAAGTGCTTTCCTTTCTCTCTTTGAGACCAACATATTGTTATTTGCAATGTGTTAAATGTGATACACAGTTCAATTTAGAAATTCTCAAGTCTAATTTAGACATTTAGTTCCCAGTATCAGTTTTATCAGGAATTGAATTAATCGAACGCTATGTATTCTAACGAATTTAATTTGCCTACTCTATCGAAATAGTATAAACGGCAGCCTTTTTTAAACATAATTTCAATATCTGATGTAGTCCAAATTTGATGTTGTTTTTTATATTATGTTGTTGCATATTCTATATTTATCATTCTCCCCTTTGAATATTTATTTCTTCAATTATTATTTGAATAAAACAAAAGGCCCAAGGATCTTGACACCCATGATTTAATACAATATGTGCTTTATGTGCATTTGTACTCTATTCTAAAATGCTAGAAACACTGGGTACGTAAGTTCATCATCAAATAAAACAAGCCCCCCAACCCCCACCTATACTGTACATGTGAAGTTACAAATATTAAAAATATAAATTTATTTACCTTATATAAATGAAAAGCAGACAGAATTGATGACATAAAGCCTTTGCGCTAATGTGTAAATTATACATAAAATGTAATAGGTAATAAAAATTACAACAGCTATGTTTAGAAATAGATACATGTATATTTATTGTTCAGTTTATTTTCTTACATAATTATTAATTATAAAATTTTACAATACGAAGTCCGATCTTAATAATAGTTATCCATTTAAGGCTGTTATAAGGTCCTGTTTTGGGGTTGCTGTTTATTGGGGTTTTTTTTTTCATTCTTTTGAGCATGCAGCGCAGCAGAGCATTGTACAATGTATCGTTTATGCGCACAGTCTTGGTGTTTTGTTTCATCCGAGTGACAATAATAGAAGAAATAATATGTTATGTTAACTTATTCGTATGCCAGCTTCCCAAATTAATAAAAAGTGGTATCATGTGTTTAAGATATGATTGTGAATAATTAAACATATCAAATTCCTTTTTTTATGTCTGGGAATCATTACTACATGAAATTTGATATTCTTTTTATTTTGATCTATTATGAATATATTCATGTAGTCTTATATTTATCTTAATTTGATATATATATAATATATAAGATATACTGTTCACCTTTCAAATTTAGTTTGCTGATAATCAAAACATTTTATTAAAACAAAAAGGCAAAAAAAAAAAATCAATCGAAATAAACTATCATGTACAAAATGAAAAAATATGCTTTTTTCACATTCACCACTTTAAAACCTATTAAGCTTGCAATGCTCAGTGTCAAATTTCATATATCAGAGACGGCTAAGGACCTTAAACCAACTCTATTACAGAGTAAATTAATACACCTTTCATAGAGATTTGATAGTCTTATTTCTCTCAAAATTCAATAATTGCTTACATCATGAAAGGCACATAATTCCTAAAGACTCAAAAAGATGTGAAGCTCGTCCTCTAGGGATTTGAGTGTCAGTGATAAAAGATCTTTATTAGTTGAAATTAATAAATTCTTTTGACATCTTGTGACGAAAAGCGATTTTGAGAGTTAGCCCGCAGAAGATAGAATAAACAAATTTTTTTATACTTAGAATTTAAATAAATTTTATAATAATATTTTGAATACAGTACAAATATAATATCAAAATAAAATGTATATATTCAATCAATAAAAAGTCTATTGACTTAATAAAAGCCTTCTTCATAGCCACAGTATTTAAAAAAAAAAAAACAATAACATTAACTAAATACTCTAATGCCTTGCTACTTTGGTAGTCAATATTACATGTGTAGGACCAATTTGTCTTCCTGTCACCCGACCGAAATTAGAACTATCGCGGATATCAATGAAAAATAATTAACACATTAATAAACCATAAAACGGACAAATATGAATGAAACAAGTTGACAAATAAATCAATTGCGGCGATTTTTTTTGTGTAATAAAATAGTTACAGTGTGAGTGGAGAGAGAGTAAAGTGAATGAGCGTAAATGTTTCATTAAATCAATATGAAATATAACCAACACTGGCTAGGCTTTTACCACTCTTGGATTACTGCCAAGATAAAGACATATTTCTCAAGTCTTCAATGAATAAAAAAGTAATAATGGTCATCACTTACCTGTGCAGCTGACCACAGGCTAAAATCCTCCCGGGGATGGTGTCTTTCGGTCATATTTATTCCGGCATAACAGTCCGAGCTGGCAAAAGAATGATACATTTTTAGAATTAGAATGCAAAATACACACTTTCTCTTATATTACTATCACCAGCTGGTTGACTCTATTCCCCCTTTTCAGTTGTCATGTGTCGAAAAAATTAGTATTACCCAACCAAAGTCGTTATTCAAGAAGTCATGCCATGCCATTGGGGACTATTCCAATACAACTCAAGGTTTCTCAGTAGTAGAGTTTAGGCTAATTTGCATCATTTTACAAGAAGTGAAGACCTTCTCATTGGAGCTTTAGATTTCAACAGGGCTTATCTAACCGATGCCGCTGCTGCAATACTATTGAGCATACTCGTGCATTTAAGCTATATCCATCTAACTGTAATAAGAGATAGAGAGAGTGGTGAGAAAGAGAGACTTGGACTGAAAGAAAAATACAAGCTCCAGTAGAAAGATTTCTTCAGATAATATTAAGTTAAAGAATAGAATGACTGTGGTTGAGTAGGTTATAATAAAATGGTAAAATAAATGATTTGAGTACTACTTACTGTAGAACATGTCTCTGTGAAACCGGTAGCATATACATGGTGACATACAATGTATACTATACTAAGAAATTTATCACAAACATTGTAGATAAATTTACTTATATATAATATACATATTGATGGGTTTATATATCAAATTAACACAACACTATTCACACGTCTTGCTTTCACTTAAGGAAGCTTAGTAAATCACATGTATTACGCAGTCATATTAAACACTGAACTACAGCAAGTATCTCAAATCTCATACCACAATGCACATAGTACGTTACACACTGTGTATGATGTGCACTTGTTCATTTCTAACCGAGAGGTTTTTTAACAAAATGCTATAGTAATATAATGAATGACTACTACATAGCCACACACATCTAAATTAAACTTTATAACATTATGAATGTACTACTGTGTACATATTAGAGTCAATTATATTTTATTTCATTAAAAAGTGCTTTATAATATTAAAATGCTACTAAAGCCAAATCATTAGTTTATTGTGTATCAAGTTCCCTTATTCATGTGCATAGATTTTATTTAATAATTAATGCTTTCTATTAAACAAGCTTTATGTAGATTCCCATTTCTCATCTATTTTTATTTTAAATTGAATTATATTCTGAAGAAAATTATTTGTCCGATTATTTGACTTATTTTGGAGGTTGGGGCGCAATTATTTAATAAAGTATAATTTCATTTCTCATTTGCATGATGGGGGAAGGAGGGGGGGAGAGAAGGAAGTGAGTGAATTATAACCACTCAAAATAAGTTTGTTTATAACGGCAATGGAAAAAGTACATACAAATTGTATTTTATTTTTCACCATTTTCCTACAAATACAAATGTGCATGGGAAATGGTACCGGATGTTCTAAAAAGGTTAAGCATATTCAACCTCACTACTTATAGCTAACTTTAGTAATTTTTTAATTTGGACTTCAGAAGCTGCTATATGAAATTCCCAATTAAACAAGTGGTATTTGGTGTTCCAGAGGTTTAACCATACCCTGCCACATATACCCTGACTATTTATAGCTAAACTAAAATTTTTAAAAATTTGAAAAGTATCAATTTAATTTAATATTTCTTCTTGAAGTATGAATCTAAACAATCAATGGATAAGGTAATAGCTATAATTTTGGCAATATCTTTTCATTTTCATTATGAATTTTTAATCCCCAGAGTTTCACCGAAAATCCTAAATTCTAACTTTTTTTTCTTCCTGTACATGTATCTAAATGACTGTTTTAGACTATTTTTACTTGATGTGAAAGTTCACAGTTGCCGAAAAAAACATAGGACACAAATAATTTAGAAATTGATCAAATATTCATAGGTTTTCAAAAGGTTGTGAAATTACATTTAAGGTTGCGGAACAGGTAAAAAATCCATTTTAACTTTTATCATCCATTTAGGATAGTTCTTATATAAAAAATATATGAAAAAGATGCATAATATATTTGAAGAAAAAACATTTTTCTTTATTTACCATTTGTAAAATGACTGGGGGGATAATTTAATTACTAGCATAAGAATTGACAATCAGTGAGAACAGCTTGGGGTATACTCCAGAACACATGGAACAGCAAATTAATTATTTGGGTAGTTGGCATTGCCAAAATATTCATACATTTTTACGAATAATTCTATTTTTTACTTCATTACAGTACTCATTTGAAGTAATAGCAGAGCCGGAGATTCAATGGAAAATCCACAAGGATAGGCACAAGACCCTAATAAGTGTTTGGCATGCAATTAGGGGAGAGAACTCACAATTTCATTGTTTGGGAAGTTTGTATTGCCAAAATATTCCTACTTTTGTACAGCAATTCTATTTTTGTTATTTTATTACAGTGTGTATTAGCAGTAGAAGGAATCAGACTCCAGGAAAAATCCACAAGGATAGGCATAAGAAGCTGCCTATTGTCAGGTATACAATTAGGGGAGGGAACTCACAACTTGCATGGTATAGGATTAAGACTAATAATTATTTCCTCTGATTTTGTGACATAGAATTTTGGTAGACTGTTTGGTCTAGAACAATCTGGTTAAAACACAGATCCTATTTCGTTTCGTTTTTATAGTTCAAAATTTCGTTTTACTTGTCTTTACGACACTTGGATCTGGAAGAGTTGTAATTTAACTCGTGTTCTGAATGGTGTCAGGGATAAGCCAATGAAACGGTCTGTTACGGCGAGCTTTAGGCGTGTTTTTTTACAGAACTGTGGGTAATCCACTAGTAACATCAATGCTGATTGGTTAATCAAATATCTGACATAGTCATAAGTCGGTCTTTTGACCCCTGACGTGACCTATCGCTATAACTTGTCAGATCTTCATGTAGTGTAGGCCATTTAAAGTATAAAAAAACAAAACGAAATATAGATCTGTATTTTAATCAGATTGGGTCTAGAATCAAAAAGAGGATTTACATTTTTCGTCAGGTTTTGTAGAATATTCATGATTTTGATGAGAAAATGTCAGTAAGTAAAGATGCTTTGATTGGGGAAATCCCTGCTGAAAATGTTGTTAGAGCCTATAGATCTCTTTGACCCGGTGTAGACAAAAAATCAAGAAGACCAACCCCTTTGATGTTTTTTAAATAGAAGATTGTGACATGTTCAGCTTTATGTGGTTATTATAAGATCATTGAAATGTTGACAAAAATGTAATAGGCCAAGAGATGTCATGGATTTAACATTGAAGTCAATGGGGAGAGACTAACCAGTCTAAGACCTGATGACATACCTAATATCCACAGTGCAAATACATGATGTCACTTTAATAGTTGAAAAGAAGTGGCTGACAAGTGTGTAACTTATTGTGACACAGTTAGTTAAGCATGCACTGAGTGTTCGAAAAGTATCAATTAATGTCCAAACATATTATCTATATTTTTTTTTTTTTTTTTTTTTTTGTAATACTTGAAAAGACAGAAACTAATACTTTATAGGAAATCAACTGCAAGTATATTAAAGAACATACGACTAGTATTAGAGAGATATCTCAGTACGGATGTTAAAAGTGCAAAATTCAAACGACTGAGTGGATATCAAAGCTGTCCGATGAGGTTGTTTCTAATTAATTTAATATCGGTACAAACTTCACAAAAATTAAAATCACTCTTTCTCTAATCTAAATCTACTTTCTACTAAAAAAAAATCCTCATAAAAATCTGTCTTATTACTAATCATTGACGCCTTTTTATGTTTGAGATTCAGGAATTACGCACATTACGCACCAAAGTCGTAAATTAACTACAAAAAAACGGTGACTATGTAACCTACAATCTAAAAGCTAGATATTAAATAAGGCTCTTCATCAATAACGGCACACGATTGTAAGCCAGTCATTTCGCAACCTGTGCATTAAATAATAATAACATGAATGGATGAACCAAGTTACGGCATCAACCTGTATTTATTTTTAAATTCATTTGAAAAAGTGTAAAATAAAAATAAGTATAACAAATGTGGTGAGAGATTTTATTGTTATTTAACATGCATTGGTATTTCAAATAACTTAACTTTATACGGTTCAAAAATACCAAATCTTCAATAATACGGACACAATGAATAGGATTATGCAAGTAAATGTAACCTTTACACAGTTCAAAAATACCAAATCTTCACTAATATGGACACCATGAATGGGATAATGCAAATGAACAGGGTTTAATATTTCATCAACTCGATACTTTGGTCATTTTGGGACAGCCATATGGTATTTCTTAATTCTATGGATGGTTACATGTTCTATGTGAGAGAAGAGAATTTTATCGAGATGGCAGTGTTCCTGCTTACTCTTCTTAAATTTGCAACTGTCAATTTATACAGTTCAAAATACCAAATCATCACAAATATGAGCATGATGAAAGAGATTATGAAGTAAATGCATGGAATTTAATGTTTCGTCAACTCAATACTTCAGTTATTTTGAGACAACCAATTCTAGTCAAGAGTCCAGTGATTTAAGCGCTGAGGAAGGAAGTGCAGGAAGACCATGCGACTGATAGCAACCACATTATGAGCTTATTATTTTAAGCTAAATGAATTTCCAGCTGGCTTCGTAACCAGGAGGTCCTGGGGCCAGCATTTTCCAGTGTGGTTTCCGCTTTCCAGACAGCGGACATAGAAAGAAACTTTTAGTTGTTTGGATGGGACAAAAAAAACTGAGGTTCTGTATACATGGTTGTGTGCACGTTGGGGTAGAAAAGTAGGATGCTAAACCCATTCTATATCATTTATACCAACTCCTTAAAACTTATTACATATATATATATATATATATTGATATACATGAATAAAGGGAAGTAACAAGTTTACGCTGTAAAAGCTCATAAAAAGAACATTGGCAAGAGACACAAAGTTTAATGACCGCAGATGATAATTGTAAAACTTTACATACGGATGTGAATCGAGAGATAATGTGGTGTTAAAACACTGTTAAGATGATCACAAGGCAGAAAGACAAGGGATTAACATCTGACAAGAAGATAAACAAATTAACCCAAAATATCACTGAAATTATTTTTATTTAAAATCTAATTCAAACGGTTTTATTAATACCAATCAACAATAATAGAAGTAGTTAGTTTTAGCGTCATATTAAAGGCATACTTTAACATGCCAGATTTTTCCTGAAGTTAGGAAAGTCAAAATTATGTACTTTTCTAATTTAAATTCTGTTATTATTATGTAATTAAACACACCTGAGTATCATTAAACATTGATGAAGAATGGGTTGCATGTAGCTTGCATGAAATGATAACAGAGTCATGATAGTCAGTATTAGCGTCATATTAAAGGTACAACAAGCCAGTTTTTTTTGTGAAGTTTGGAAAATCGAAAATATGTACTATTCTAATATTCTAATTTAAATTCTGTTGTTATTATATAATTAAACACTTGAGTAAAATAAAACATTTATTAAGAATGGACTGGCTTGTATGAAACTGATAGCTTAATAATTATTACTTTACCTGTTTATGACACACAAAGATGGCAGTATTAAATCAATAGAAACCAATGTAAACTTTAAATGGCATATTCTTAACTCAGAATTCATCGATTTGAATACTCTTTTTAACCAAAATAGTAACAGTAATTTTTAAAGGCCATAGTTTTTAACTCTGTATATAACCTGCATTTTTGGACATTAAATGTTTTTTGA